TCTATCCAGAACCTTCCCCTGTGATCCCTTTCAGAGCAGTAGCCAGGGAGCATCTACTTCTGGTCTCTCAGGGTCAGGGAGGTTGAGGCTCATGTGATCTTTAATTTTCTTCACTCTTCTTCACTTTGGACGAGGAGAGACCAATAATTGTACCTCAGATAGCTGCTCATAAGCTTTTAAGACCTCAGTCACTACTCACCAAAGTAGGATTGGACTATGTTATGCCAACTGACCACAGCCCCCCAAGACTTGTTCCCTCAAGGTGCTTGATTATGTCTAAGAAGTTTTCATAACTTTGCCCCCATGTGCTCTACTATATATATGGATGTACTTGCAGCACACATAAATACCTACATAGAAACTTCCTGTCAAACCTGAATATATTTGTGGGTGTAGAGCCATTCCTTTTCCTACAGCTGTTTGGCTTTCATGTCTATCTAGTATCCACTTGTAGATTATTGTTATTACGTTATCATAGGATTGTGTATTTAACAGTATTTACCTTTGTTGCCTTTAACTCTTGTGCTCCTCTGGGTGTGTTCTCTGCCTTGAACATTTTGTGCTGACCTCTCTCATATGGTGTATAACCTTTTCCTTCACCCAAGTTAATACGTGTCTACCCTTTAGTTCGTGATTTACCCTCCCTTCTCCCATCCTTGGTTTCTTGAATGGATCATTTGAAGAGAAAAATCCCTAGTGCGAGAAAAGAGGGCAGAATATATTAGCAGAAATTAACTTAATGGATAGCAGTATACAGATCATCACATCACAAGAGAAATAAAATGACAATGCCACTATCATTTTAGAAATCCAAGTGTGTCTTCATCATTGTTAGCTGTCACCAAGTTGGCCTTGACTCCTGGCAATCCCACCGTCAATAGAGTTACTGCGGGCCGGCCCCCCGCCATCCGTGTGATCAGCTATGGAGCAGAGCACTATGCTCCCCGGGGTGTTCACTGGCCGATTTTTGGAAGGAGATCACCAGGCCTTTCCTCTTAGTTGGGAAGCTCTGCTAAAACCTGTTCAGCAGCATAGCAACATGCAAGCCTCCCCTGATGGACAGGTGGGGGCTACACATGAGGTGTGCTGGCCAAGAATTGAACCCAGGTCTCCTGCATGGGAGCAAGAAACTGACCACTAAACCACCAATGCCCCAGCTAAGGTTTCTTTAATACCCTGTGTTAAAGATCTCTTCTCTCTCCCTTACTGACCTATGTGCCAGTTTCAATTCATTTCATCCCAGTGCAAATTTAATGAGTTCAAACTGGACAGAGAATGTGGGGATTCAATGATAAGTAACTTCATTCCCTCCCCCGCCTACAACCCCCCAAATACCTTGGACATTAATCCAATTTAGTGCTATGTGTGGAAACTGGAACCAAGGATCAACTAAGAAAAAGAGGAGGACTTCCCTCTCCAGACCTACATGAGCTTGAAACCAAAGATGGAGCTGCCCCTGGGAACAAGAAATCAAAAGAGCTAGAAAAGGAAGTTGGCTAGGTCTTAAAAAGCCAGTTTTATCTAGATGGTCCCTAGGACAGAAAACATGAGGGAGATACCTTTCATTTATCTACTTCAACAGAGAAACAATCAGGACCTTCATACTTCTTCTTTACTACATGTATTTACAACTTACGATATATATATGGAGCTCTGGTGGCACAGTGCCTAAGGCATTTGACTGCTAACCAGAAGGTTGGTGGTTCAAACCCACTAGCCACTCCTTGGAAGGAAGGTTGGGCAATCTACTTTCATAGTGATACCGCCTTGGAAACCCAAGGAGGGGTCATTATGAGTCCAATCCAACTCAATGGCAGTGGGTGGATTTATATATATATATACATAATATACATATATATACATAACACACATACAATTTTCATAATAAAAAATATCTCATTTCTTTCGTTGATAAAAAATCTTATTGTAAAAAATTCAAGCAGTATGGAAATATGTATAATAGAAAGTAAAATGTGTCTTCTACTCCACTCCACCCAAAATGTAAACAATCTGGTATACTTGGCTCCAGAGTAATTTTAAATTTATAAAATTTTTTAAAGCTGAATCCATTCTCATGGCAAAATATTAAAGCCAAATGATGCAAATGCACTACTGTTGAGTCTGACCTGACTCACAGCGACCTCTCCTTGGGTTTCCGAGGCAGTATCACTGCAGAAGTAGATTGCCCAACCTTCTTTCCGAGGAGTGGGTGGTGGGTTTGAACTACCAGCCTTCTGGTTAGCAGTCAAATGCCTTAGGCACTGCGCCACCAGAGCTCCTTAAAGCTGAACAGCAGTATGAAAAATAAAATATAAGTCTCTCTTCACTCTAACCCCACCCCATTCCCTTATCCGTGAGTTGTGGTGGTTGTGTGGCGTCAAGGCTATTCCCATTCACAGGGAACAGAGGATCGTTTCCTGGGCTGTAATATTTATGAAAGCAGTTAGTTACATCTTTCTTCCACGGAGCAGTTGATGAGTTCGAACCACCGACCTTTTCTGGTTAGCAGCAGCGCTTAATCACTGTGCCACCAGAGCTCCTTTCCATCTGTGGGTAAATATTATTACTACTAGTGCTAATTTCCTTAGGTCAATTCCTATAAGTGGATTTTCTAGGTCAACAAATTCATATACTTTAAAAATTTTAAATACATTTCCAAACAGCCTCCAAAAAGATTTTACCCATTTACATTCCCAACCACAGAATATGGACATGCCTGCTTCTTCACACCATTATCAACACTGGGATTACCGACTCCTTGAATGTTTTCAAATTTAAGAGGGGAAAAAATGAAATCTCATTATTTTAATTTGCATATTTCTTTGATTAATGAGACTGAAAGTCTTATGTTTTCTGCCCATTTGAGATTTTTCTTTTATGATCTTTTCAGTCTGCTTACTCACATGCTTTGCCCATTATTCTAAAGAGATCTTCTAAGAGATCATAAAAATGCTTCACATAGGAATGAAATATGTCATATATTGAACTTTTTCTTTCCAGTTTGTCATTTATCGATTACCTTTGTTTTTGATGTATTTTTAAATGTGATATTTATGTAGGCAGATATAGTAGCATGGTTTCTTTCCTCAGTATCATGCTTATAAAGGTTTCCTCCACCTCAAAATCATTAAAATATTCTCTATTCACACTCCTACCCCAGTATGATGCTATCTGTAACTTAGCAAAGCAAAACCATTCATTTGAGGAAAAGCAGTAGAGGCAGTGATACTGGTATTTTAATAAATATGAAAGTCTCCCATTCCTCACAATGATGTCGTGCAATGTAGAAAATGAGACACAAAATAATGCAGTAGTAGAGTATTTCCAGTTGTGGGATTTTCTAAAGAAAAATAAAATAGGCCAAGCTACTACTGCCTCCTTCTGACATAACATAAAGTGGCAAAGCCTACTGAACCTGGAAGTTTTGATAATAGAAGCAGAAAGGGCCAATACTCAGTTATTCTACCCCTGTGTTAATCCAGCCTCTTCAGACCACAGGGCTTGAGTAGTAACGTGGATGTCTGCCTGTGTCCTTAGGAGACACAATGGGAATGGCGTGCACTCTGGTAACAATAAATGCTCAGGTCTCCAGCTACAAGACTTGTACTAAATTACTCGTATTAACCACCCGGAGAACAATGTTGATGATAAGCAATCAGACAGTCCATAAGGGGTAACCTTTTTTCCCATAAATACTTAATGTCACAAAGATACTGTAGTAAACACAAGGGCTGTTATCCCATAAACACATTCCCAATTCCTTCTCCCGAGCCTGCTCATAGAAGTGACAAGATAACACAGCTCTGGCTAATGATATATAAAAAGCTTGCTGAGGAAATTCTGGGAGAGCTTTTACTTTCCTGAGAAAAGAGAACAGGTATGGCTGGCATCCTCCTCCTCTGTTCTTCCTTCTTTGGACGAACGTTTTATGGCTGATGCTGCAGCAGCCACTTTGGAACCATGTGGAAAAAGCCAAGAGATCCTGGCCCTAACAATCATGGAAAACTGAAAACCACTACCACCAACTGCCTACTTTTCCTACAATTATTCTGCCAGAAAAATTGATTTCCATTTGCTTATACTTCTATAGTCAGGTTTTAAGTTCTTTGCAGCCCATGCACAACATAGTCCTAGATAATCGTAAATATAACCATTTCCAAAACATTCTTAGGTTTACATATGTTGCTGTTGTTATGTGCCATTGAGTCATACTCGACTCATAGCGACCCCTCCTTGGGTTTCCAAGGCAGTATCACTATGGAAGCAGATCGCCCAACCTTCCTTCCGAGGAGTGACTGGTGGGTTTGAACCGCCAGCCTTCTGGTTAGCAGTCAAGTGCCTTTAGGCACTACGTTACCAGAGCTCCCAGGTTTACATATAGTCAAACACAAAACCAAATCTACTGCCATCAAGTTGATTGTGACTCACAGTGATCACATAAGGTTTCCAAGGCTGTAAATCTTTACCGAAGCAGACTCCCTCACCTTTCTCCTGTGGAATGACTGGTGTGTTCGAACTGCTGACCTTTTGGTTAGCAGCCTAATACCTTAACCACAGCACCATCAGAGCTCCTTTACATCTAGTAGACACTCAAAATTTTTATATGAATTAATAAGTAAGATTCTGGAGAACTAAATGACGTTTTTAAAAGGAGACCACATACAGACAACCCCCAATACATAAAGCAAGCACATGTGCTGTCCTAACTCCTCTGTCCTAGAGAGAGATCCGATGTCTTAAATAAGTGGACTGAAGTTAAAAAGAAAAAAGAAAGCAAAACAACAAAAAGCCACCAACACAGCACTGAGATTTATGGAAATTTCTGGTTCGGTTTTACAGTAATTATGGGAGTAAAAAGTTGTGACAGGGACGCATGCTATGATGCCAATGACAAATGGTTAACTGATAAGAAAAAAATGGAGAGGGTGACAGGCTATAGAACAGTTCAATATCAGGCTGTCATGAAGCCATTTGAGACACATAATTAATCTATTACTCACCTGGCATCATCATTCATTGCAGTATGGTCAATAGGTGCCATGAAGCTCAACAGCTTGCTAAGGACATGAAACCTAAATAAAGCAGGAAACAAACAGGCAGCAACATTAGTAACTATTAACCCAGAAAAGGGAACACATTCTATGAGCTCAAAAACCCTAGGACTGATCACAGAACATCTGGCTCCAGAGGAGAACAGGGGGGCAATTCATAGGCACTTATGGCTCACAAACAGATTTACTTTTTTCTTTAATGCTTTAGGAGAAAGTCTGTTAACAGCACATCATAAATAGCATAATTCAACACAGAGCCGCCATTTATATCACAGCCCCAAAAAGTGTTCGCTTATGCTCTTGAGTAATACACTAACCCTTAAACACATTCCATTCAAAGAGAAACAGAAAAAGTAGAAATTCATGATAGAAAATGTGAAAAATAAGCAGATTAAAAAAAAGTCCCTCCACCTATAAACAATTGTTAACATTTTAGTTAGCTGTTTGTTTTACAGTGATCCTGTTATATAAATACAATTTTGTATTCTTTTTTTTTTCTATCATTTAACATTTTAAGTATTGCCCCATAAACAGTATGTATGTTAATGGCTGCACACAATACTGTGAGTGGAAGTATTATATTTTCATACTGTTGAACACCTATTCTGCATTTGTCTCAAATTCTTCATTTATTATTATAATGATGCAAAAAAACCTGCCCATCATGCTTCTTAAAACTGTCTGTTTTAAGGGACACACAGGGAGGAAGTGGAAAGAGTTCAATGTCACTCAACAAAATACATACGAATGGTTAAATGGAAAATCAATCTGTTCTGTAAAATTTCACTCAAGAGCTGTTTTTTTTTAAAGTCTGCTTATTGTTATCCCCTAATTATAAAAATTAATATATGATCCTCATTTGAAGTCCACAGAAATGTAGAGAATGGAAAGTCCCCTGTAGCTCTATGCCCTAGAAAAAAATCACTGTTGACTAAAACGCAGTTAAGTTTGGCTATAGCATTTCCCCTGTACAATATAAACTTGATAAATATTTTAACATAAAAATGAGACTGCTCTACCTAATATTCTCCATTATGCTTTTTTTCCACTGAACCATTTATCATATTATACTCTTTTTCACAGCTACAAAGTATTCCATTGCATCAATGGATCATAATTTAATCAATCTTTTTTATTTATTGACATTTATATTGCCCCCCTCCACTTTTTAAAACCATATCACACAATGACAAAACGAAGATTCTTATGCGTAAGTATTGTAAATTTAGGAGCTCTGGTAGCATAGTGCCTAAGGCACTTGACTGCAGTACCAACTGTAAGTTTGTTCACAGATTTCTATGCAATCAATTTCAAGATGTAAAGTCACTGACGCTAAAAGTGTGTTGTTGTTGTTGTTATGTGCTGTCAAGTCGGACCCGACTCATAGCGACCCCTCCTTGGGTTTCCGAGGCAGTATCACTACGGAAGTAGATTGC